CATACATGGGTAAATCCTCCTCGCTTGATACATCTTCCACAGTTCGGTATCGGAGACAGCATTTTCGGGAGTGCTTATGTGATGTACAATTCTTCATTGTTTCTTTTAATAAACATCACTAAGAATTTTGTCAGTTTCCTGGTTTTAAAAAATTACTTGCTGAATTTAGAAAAAATAGATATTGTTTCCCTTTTATTACATAAACAAAAAAATAAAATTTATGACATGGATCACTATGTTTTCAATGTCAAAATAATCATTTTACTAAAATAACAACTGCTATGATTATTTATTTTATCGAAATAATAAAATTAATATTATATTAGTTGTATTGAAAATATAAATTTTGACAAAAAATATGTTTATATAATATAATAAATAAAAACTAGATGTCAGTAATCGGATTAGAATTTTTGGCTAAAATATGAATGAATAATTTCGCATTTGTCTGCTAATTATCAAGAAAAGGCTTGGTCAAACCGAGTGCTTATTGAACACATCGAATGGTTTTTATTAAATTTTAGAAATCGGTTCAGCCGTTTTTGAGAAAACGACGACGTAAAGACCAATTTTGGCTCACAAACACACACGCGCACACGCACAACTTTTTTACCAATGTTGGCCTCAAATGATTACGAATGACTTAAAACTTCAAGAAAACGTAAAATCGGATTTTCTTGCAAAAACATTAACTTTTTCTTAGGGCCTTCAAAAAAATCGAATTTAAAAGTAACGATTTTAGATTTTAGCAACGTAAAATATTAACATAGTTGTGTAACTTTGATTGTTATTTTATTTCATGATGGTGGTGAATTAAAAGTCGTATATGTATATACACATGTATATATTTTTCAACTATTTTAATAATACGGTAAATACTATATAAAAGTCCAATACAATGATATAAAACATTACTGCTGCATATGAAAATTGATCAGTAAACATTTGGAATACATTTAGGTGGAGGCACACGCAAAGCCCCAAAAACGACTGCAAAAGCAAACGCATAAATTGCGAATAAAATTGTATGCCGCAAATCCGACATGCGACTGCATTTTTGAAAGTGCGAACAAGCTCGGCTCCAATATCCTCCCAAGTCCATGACATATTTTTTGTTTAACTTCACTCTTGTAGTCCCATATTTCTTTTTGCTTTTACATAGTGGAGAATCATTTTGAATATTAAAATCTTTCCCTGCCATTATTTGTTTTGTCCGGTTTTGGAAAACATCTTGTTTCTTTAAGCTAGATTTGACTTTTGAGACTTTCTTGATTTTCACTTTGTTAACTTTCATAGGACGCTTTTTTAAAATGGATGACTGCATGCTTTTGGATTCAGAGAATATATCCAAGGTGTTAAATTCGTTGCCAAATTTTGATAATTCACGAATAGGTTGCATTGCATTTTGAATTCTTTGGAAGTTCTTTGTGGTTTGAGTTGCTGTGGAGTGGAATAATTGACTTTTATTAGTTAATTAATAAATTGCTCATTATTATTTGTTAAATCTAATGTAACATTAATCTTAGTATTGGAAAGGTTTATTAAACACTTCAGGCAAATTGAACAACAGACAAAAATGTAGGTATTCTACTATTAGAGATTCATTGACTTTGCTGGCTATCATTGAAATATAATCAGCTCCGAGTAAATGTTGAGCCATTAATATGTAAAGCAAATTATAGACACATTTGATATATTTGGTGGTTGTTACATATATAAAAGTAATATTCTTTGAGAACATAAAACATATTCATGGTTTTAGAAATCAAATCTTCAAAAAGCTATTATAGATCGTTTTCGTTGTATTTTATCTATGTTGGAAAAGACTATCTATTATACTCACTTGATGCATCACTCCACTTATCAAATTCCTCCAACAACTTTCTGTTGCTTTTGCTATCCATACAAGTGTTCATAATGCATTTTTCAGTTTCTTTTTGAAATGTTACTTCACAGAGAGTCTTTTTGCGGCCAGGGCACGAATCTGAATTCTTTAGTTCGTTAATTCTCTTATTAATAATTCCATTGGAACTGGAATAATTATTAGTATTTGCCGTGAATTCAGAAACTTTACTATCAGCTCTGTCAACAAACCTTGGTTTACCTTCAATTGGTTTCAAAACAGGCATAGATTGGGTATTGTTTGTAACTACATTTGGTTTTGCACTTAATTCTTGGTTCAAGTCAAAAGATGCCATGTTGAAAATATCAGACATGTTTTGAGACTCCGAGTGTGATGTTATTGCTAAAGCTTCTGATGGTCTATAAGATTGAAGAAATTTGGATACTCGGTTGTCACTTAGAGAAAGACCTTGATCGCCCATGCTGTAGGTGCCATCGCAGTTCTGCACAACTGTAAAGAACTCCCCGTGCAAAGAATATGGTTCGGACTCTTCGATGTTATTGATATTATTGTTACTAGTTAGATTAAGTTGACTGCTGATATTGGAATTTTTGTATCTAGTTGGAAGAGCTATATCAGTTTGTGTTTGGACATCGCTTCCTGCTGAGAAACTTTGTATGCTTGTGGCTTTTTCAACGGCTACTAACATCACAGATTTTTTAAGTCGTTGACATACCGATACACTGCGTTTCTCTCTGCAGTCGCCACTTGCCGGAATTGTTCGTAGCTGATCAGATCGAGTCTATAATTTATTTTATATTATTGTTGAGATAAAATCCTTGGAAGAATGTCAATTAAAATATTGAGGACTTTGTAACCTTTACATTTCGTTTTATATCTTTTGTTTGGACACTAATGCGTTTTGTTTCCATTTTCTTCTCCAATAACTGTTTTTGTTCCATTTTTCGTTGAATTTCTTCCGAAATTCGGCGCTTTTCTTCTTGTCGGATTTTAATTTCTTGCATAAGACGCTCGTGTTCTTGTCTATAAAATAAATAACATATAAATAAAAAAAATTAAAAAATTACACTCTCACATCATTAATTTGAAATGAAGGATAAAAGTAAGTTAGTTTTTAAAAGAAAGTATTCGAGCAAACTACATTTCAACTTATATCTACAAAAACATTAAGAAACTGATTAAAAACTTACTTCTTCCTTCTATGATCATCTGCTTCTCTAGTACGGGTTTTGTTGAAATTTTTATTGCTATTAAGAGTTTTTGTTGTTGGGATATTGTTCTTATGCTTATGCTGTTTTTTAATTTCTGTTACATTTTCGTACGAAACGCTTGATACGTAAGTTTTAACTTCAAATTTTGGTATCATGGAAGGTTTACCAGTTAATTTTGGAGAAGATATGGGTGTTTTTGGTCTAGGAATCGCTTGATTTAATTTTGTTTTGGTTGGGTTTGTTTTCTTTGCTGGTACATTTTCCTTTTCAACTGTTCTAGGACATTTTTCACTTCTTAGTGGATTTTTACTTGCCTGTTCTAGTAAATCGTATAATTCATTATCCTTTTCTATAGCTCGTAAATTTATTGTGTTTCTTCTAATAGCTTCGTCAATTGTACGAAGATCAAAATTATTACATGGAGAATTTCTGAGATCGTATGCTCTTATATAGTGTTCTGTAGGATGTTGGTAATCGTAATCGAACTGATGGTCACTTGCGTCACTTGAAAGTTTATCAAATTCGATGGAGCATTCGGAATATGATTCTTTTAATCCGTTTATATAAATGTCGTTTGGATCGATTTTCTCATCTTCTGTATGTGGATATAAGTCATTATTTTGAATTAAATTATTATCGTATTGCCGAAACTCGACGCATGGAACTCCTTCAAGAGATATAAACTCACCAGCATTTTCCTGAATGCTATCTTGCGAACTGAAATCCGTTTGGGTTTGAGTATTTAAAATTTGGGAATTCAGAGGTTTTCTAGTTTTTGGAAGAACTGAATTATTCTTTGTTTCCAACGTACTATCTCGATTTACGTTCTTTGAACAATTCGTCACTTTTTTTGCACATTTTGATGCTTTATTTGATTTGTTGTTGTCTGCTGGTGTGATCTTCATATCTTCATTAAAACTCGACCTCGAGCCATTTAATTAACGATTATTTTGCATTTTTAATAAAGGCTATCAGACACGTCACTAAAAATTTTTGTAAAAATTTGTTTATTTTTGTTTTAGGTTTTTGATTCGGTAGTATGTTAGATGTCAACTTAAATTTATACTTTTCATCAAAATTTTAGTAAATTTAAATTCTAGGAATGAGCGTTTACATTCCAGTAAATTAACCCTTATACACGATACACGTGATGTACAATCATTGTAGTAATTTTCATTATAGTAAATTCACAATCAGTTTACATTTGTTGTAGTATTTTTACACTAATTGTATAGTATATTATTTTAACTTTTTAAGTAAATTTACACTCACACACGTGAGTTTACAATCCTTATGTAGATTTATACAGATCATCATATTGTATAGCACATATATTTTATAACTCATTGAAGTAGATTTACAATCGTTCTCATAGATTTACTCTTATTGTAGTAGAAATACACTATTTATAGTATATTTAAGCTCATTTTAGTAGGTTTATGCTCATTCTCGCAGATTTTTATTCTATTAAGATTACACTCATTTTCTTAGATTTACACTCATTAGTGTGGTTTAGTAGATTTATTCTGATTGTAATATATTTAAACTCGTTATAGAATTTTACATGAAATGATGTATTTTTACACTCATTTTCGTAAATTTACACCTATTATAATAGTTTATTTATCTATGATAGTATAATTACTCCAAGAGCGCAATGTGCCTCGACAGGGCCCCGTATACAGTTTCAATTAAATAAACACTTTTCTTGTTTGCTCTTGCAAACTGATTTATAAAGAGAATTTTTTTTTTAATTTTTTGTAGTTTTAATGTATATATCTAATATATTATTTTTACAAAATATTTTATTTAAACATATTTTCAAATAAACGGTCATCGCCATTTTTAAGTTCTCCTTCCATGGCGTTGTTCGCACATGTTGCACTACCAACACAATACAACTGACAGCTAGACTAGAATAGAATTTAAAACTAAATTTTAATCGAAGGCGATGCATGTAAAAGTATTAAATAATAAATTGAATTAATAGATAATAGTAGGTGATAATACTTTGAATTATAAGTCCAACATTATGACATACGTGCCAGGACAATTTTCTGTTGTTGGTGGTAACAACAACTTTATCAGCAAACAAAATGCACTTTTTCAACACTTGAATGAAGTAGAAAGAAATATGAATATAAACCGACAACAAGCACAAATTGATTCAATATGTGACGAACCCCAAGATTTACAAAACAAAAGCGTATCTACAAAAAAATTTAGAGGAAAAGAAAGTATTTTTAAAAGACCTGAAGCACCTAAACCTAAGCGTTTGCATCCAAACAACAGACCTGATTTTCTCAAGAACCCCCACAAATGGACCAAATATAGCTTAGAAGACATTTCATCTACTGACATGTCAGAATCTAGTAATGCATCAGCAGCTTTTACATTTTTAAAAGAATTAGAAGATAGACGTGATCAAAACAATATGAAAAGTATTTCAAGTGACGTAGGTCCTAAATACAATTCTTCAGTAAAAGTTAAATTAGATACTATGGATAATGATACTGACCCAAAATCTTTCAAAAATATGAAAGTAGTTATGCCTGAATATGTTGTTGGTCAATCTATAAAGAAGAAAACAGTTATACAGAAACAAACGCATACAAAATCTAATAAAAAGGAATTGAAATTGAGTCATCTTATGGATGAAGATGAATGTGACGAAGATTAAATGATATATATATATATATATATATATATATATAATATATATATATACATAGATCTAAATTATATGTAATTAAGTATAATATAGTTGTACTCCAGAAGAATGTTCTACAAAATAAATATTTTACTCATTGCGAGAATATCTATTTAAGTTAAATTGATTTTCTATATTCATAGTTGTTGAGGCTAATTATAAATGAAATTTTATAATATATTCTTAAATATAAAGTTTTTAAATCAATTGCCTAAATATTTTGATGAATACAACAAATCTCAGATTAAAAAAATTTTTTATTAGATATTATATACTCTTTGCATATATTGAATTCCTCTTCTTTTATCTATAGATATATATTGAATATTTAAATTATATATATATATATATATATATATATATATATTGAATATTTAAATTATACATATATTAAATTTATAAATCATTAGATACCAATTACACTACATTGCAGTGTGATTACAGTTTGCTCACTATGCTTATAATTTAATTTCAAATATATAAAATATTGAAAAACTGTATTAATAATTATAGTGCAAATCATAAGTATTGCCATATAAATAAATATATTTAAACATTTTTTGCTTATTTAATAAAATAATTAATATTATGGTCTATGACATGAGCTAGCTAATAAATTCCTCAATTTAGAATGAACCTGATTACTCTGCAAATGCAAATAAAATAATTTAATTTTCATAATTAGTATTTTCCCATATGCAAGTGCCAAGAGGCATTTGGCAAAATTATCAAGTAGAAATGCACTGTAGCTTTTGATATACAGTCAAACTTTGCTCCATGACATTCGTAATTTAAATTTGCTTACATCAAAAATGTTATTTGACTATTGTTGATAGCCTGTTATAAAAGCTTGCCCTAGGTATAATTTAACATTTTAATTATGAAGGATTTTCTTCTTGCCTGCGTATCCATAATATCTTCAGTCTTAATAGTGTTAATATTAGTATCCGCAGGTAAGTGTCATGCTTGATTAAAAAAATATCTTAAACATGCGTTTAAATTGTTTTTATAATTTACAAGCTTCGTTTTATGAATTTTAAATAACGTTTTAGTATATAAGGTGTTTTTATTTGTATCATATATTATTATATTTTTCTTAAATTCATAATATAAATTAAATTTGTTAACATAACCTAAAAATTCAATCACAAAGTTAGGCTTGGCTAATTTTTTGAATAAACTTATTATTTTTACTCAAATTTTTTAATAATGCATAATTTCTTTCAGGCTGGTACATAGTTTGGAAGCTCTTTTTATCCAGATTCAGATTTGTACGCGAATTACTTGGTGGCATGTCAGAATCTTCTACAGTAGTAGATCTTAAAAATAGCCGAAATAAAATCAAGAAAGTTCGCAGGGATTGATATATAGGTTTATAAATTTTCAACTAATATCCAGGTAAAGATAATATCAGCCACATGCAACAATTTTAAACCTACATACTTATATATTATTTAAGAATTTTTTCTCATTCAATCGATTGTATAAAATTGAATATAATGGTAGTATTTTAATATGCTTAATAAATTATGCTTTTAAATTTATCTTTAAATATCTCTAAATAATATATTACTTTTTTGCATTGTTTAGCATTTTAATGAATGATTTTAATAAGTATAATTTTTTATTTGTAGCAAAATGAATATACGTTGCGCCAAGCCTGAAGATTTAATGAACATGCAACATTGCAATTTGTTATGCCTACCTGAAAATTACCAAATGAAATATTATTTTTTCCATGGATTATCTTGGCCACAGCTGAGTTATGTAGCAGAAGATGGCAAAGGAAAAATTGTGGGTAAGTTGCCCTGATCTTTCATCATTATTACAAAAGTAATACTTACTTATGTACTTATTATATATACTTATGTATTATACAACATGATTATAGGATACGTTTTGGCTAAAATGGAAGAGGAAGGAGAAGAGAAACATGGACACATTACTTCATTAGCTGTTAAAAGATCTCATCGTAGATTAGGTCTTGCCCAAAAACTCATGAATCAAGCATCAATGGCTATGGTAGAATGTTTTCAGGTAATATATGATACTACGATCAGTAGTATCATATTCTTTCTTTTCCCTCCTATCTTATTTGGTTTAAATTTATAAAATACTTTATTGCAATATAAGTTTTCATTTATTTTTAGGCAAATTATGTATCACTCCATGTCAGAAAAAGCAATAGAGCTGCTTTAAATTTATATACAAATGCGCTACAGTTTGAAGTAGTTGAGATTGAACCTAAGTACTATGCCGATGGAGAAGATGCATATTCTATGAAAAGGAATTTATCACATTTTCAAGATATTTTATCTGCGGATTTACCTGGTATTGATGCAATAGCAGATGATGAATCAAAACTGCCTAATATTCCTGCAAAAAAGCCTTCAACAGATAATAAAGACTGTAATGCAGACAATGCACTTGAAAAATTAACCCAATTTGTAGAGACAAAGCTTAGTGTCAAGGACAAAGATACTGAGAAATGAAACATGTAATATGTAAATAAAACATTAATGATTCATAATGAGTTTTTCCACACAAGAAGATTTGAGTTGTATTATATTTAATTTTTAAGATAGAAATATTATTTGTGAATATGTATTTAGACACAAGTATGTAGCAATAATTGGTTCTCATAATATATTAATTTGTTTTGCAAAATTGTTTACGAAACAGTAATTAGATTTTCTATATGTTAACAACGTACATTCTACTTTTATTTATAAATATACATGCCGCCTTTAAATTCATATATGAAATGGATTTTTTCCCAATGTTGCCACTGTCCAATGTTTTGGACTAAAAAAATACGTTTTTTCTTTCATTAGGCCAGAAGTAAAAAAAATCCCATCTGGCAATACATATAATTTTCCCGCCAAAAGTATTTGACGTGCTTGGATCAGTTGAAAACGAGCTATTGTTTGTTAAGTTTTATATAATATAATTAAGTTTATTCGAAATTAATTTATAATGGAAAATGCAGATGTTGATCAAAGATTGCGTGATTTGCAAAGGGAATATTTGGATTTTCTCGATGATGAAGTGTGTACAGAAAATTCAATAATTCAGTTATGCCCTTGTTTACTATTTTATTCTATTGCTCAATTTTAGGAAGATCAAGGAATTTATATGCAACAAGTGAAAAATTTGATATCAGATAAATTAGTTCGCCTAATAGTAAATATAAATGATTTGAGACGAAAGAATCCAGTTCGTGCTACTTCATTGTTGAACAATGCCTTCGAGGAGCAATTGGCTTTCCAGAGAGCATTGAAAGAATACATTGGATCTGTTGATCCAACATATGCAAAGGAACATGAAGATTTTTTTATTGCCTTTGAAGGAAGTTTTGGAAATAAACATGTTACACCTAGATCTTTAACATCTAGGTAAGTTATTTCACTTTGTTTATTTAAATTATGATGTTTACTATATATATATATATATATATATATATATATATATATATATATATATATATCATTACATTAATATCATTTTGATAATAATCCAAAAGTGTATTATGGAATAGAATATAATACCTAATGTATAAAATAATTATAATAATGAGTTCAATATTTTTGACTGCAGATATCTTGGAAATCTTGTTTGTGTGGAAGGAATTGTTACTAAAGTTTCATTGATCAGGCCAAAAATAGTTAGAAGTGTGCATTATTGTGATGCAACCAAAAAAGTTATTGAGCGCAAATATACAGATTTAACATCATTCGATGCATTTCCATCAAGCTCTGTTTACCCTACAAAGGTGATTTCATTTTTCATATAAATATTTGATTTGTAAATATATTTTTGATTATAATATTAACTAGAAATAAGACTGAATATTTGTATTAAATTGCCTTAGGATGAAGATGGAAATTTGTTAGAAACAGAGTATGGATTATCAGTATATAAAGATCATCAAACATTAACAATTCAAGAAATGCCTGAGAAGGCTCCTGCAGGTCAATTGCCACGTTCTGTTGATGTAGTCTGTGATGATGACTTAGTAGATCGGTGTAAACCTGGAGATAGAGTTCAGATTGTAGGAAATTACCGGTGTCTTCCAGGAAAGCAAGCAGGATATACTTCTGGCACATTTAGGTAAGAAACTAAATTTTCACTTACATCAAAATGTTAGCATTGCTTTCTGAATTATCAATTTTTAATTTTGTAGGACAATTTTGATAGCCAATAATGTATCACAATTGAACAAAGATCAGAACCTTTCTATATCTCGTGAAGATGTTGCATTGTGTAAAAAACTTGCAAAAAGTAAAACAGACGTTTTTGCATTATTGTCTAAATCTCTCGCTCCAAGTATACATGGTCACCATTATGTTAAAAAAGCCATATTATGTTTATTGCTTGGTGGTGTTGAAAAGTTGCTACCTAATGGAACAAGGCTTAGAGGGTGAATATCAGTTTTTATTTATTCATTGTTATAATTTTATTCTATAATCTATATTGAATTCATAATAATTTTCAGAGATATTAATATTTTGTTAATTGGAGATCCAAGTGTAGCTAAATCTCAATTGTTAAGATATGTTTTGTGTACAGCACCTAGAGCAATTCCCACTACTGGAAGAGGTACATTTTATTTGTATTACATATAAAATAAAAAAAAAGTAGTTAGACTTGGTAATCTTCATAATATGCTTATATTTCATATAGGATCATCTGGTGTGGGTCTAACAGCGGCTGTTACCACTGATCAAGAAACTGGTGAAAGAAGACTTGAAGCTGGTGCCATGGTGTTAGCTGATAGAGGAGTTGTCTGTATTGATGAATTTGATAAAATGAGTGATATTGATCGAACAGCTATTCATGAGGTAATTATTAATAACAATGATAATCTAAAAGACACATTTGTTTATGAGTTAATTTACAGATGCAATGTCTATTCAAAACAAATGTTATTTATAATTTTTATGCAGGTTATGGAACAAGGAAAAGTTACAATTGCCAAAGCAGGAATACATGCTAGCTTAAATGCTCGTTGTTCTGTACTTGCAGCTGCAAATCCTGTTTATGGACGAGTAAGATTAAATTTAATATTATTTATATTGTTTTTGAGTATAATTTGGTTTACTAATTTGTTTGTTTTTTTAGTATGATCAATATAAAACACCCATGGAAAATATTGGCCTACAAGATTCACTGTTGTCTCGTTTTGATATACTGTTTGTTTTACTAGATATTGCTGATGCTGAGACTGATCACATGATATCTGATCATGTTGTTAGAATGCACAGATATAGGTCTTTTAAGTTTATTTTAATACTTTAATAATGAATTTAGTTTAAATATAATTCTCAAATAAAATGTTATTCTAGAAATCCTGGAGAGCAAGATGGCTCTGTTTTACCAATGGGTTCCTCTGTTGACATGTTGTCTACTCAGGATCCTGATCATGACCCTTCTCAAGTAAGTTTCATCTTTGTTTGAAATATCATTTGTTTATAGATCACTGTACCAAATTAATAATAATTTACAGGCTGGGGAAACTCCGATGTATGAAAAATATGATGCTTTATTACATGGAAAGAGTAGAAGCCGAACAGATCAAATATTATCAGTAGCATTTATGAGAAAATATATACATATTGCAAAGTGTATGAAGCCAAAACTAACTGAAGAAGCTTCAGAACTAATTTCTGATGAATACTCTAAGCTACGGTCTCAAGATAGTATGGAATCAGATGTTGCACGAGTGTGTATCTCATCCAACACATTTATAAGAAACCATTCATTTGTTTGTAAATAATTTAAATTCATAATTTTTCAGACACAACCAGTTACTGTGCGTACATTGGAAACATTAATTCGGTTGTCCACAGCACATGCAAAAGCCAGATTGTCTAAATTAGTTACTGAAGTTGATGCTCAGGCTGCAATTGAACTTGTGCAATACGCATACTTTAAAAAGGTAATTAAATATATCACAAATTTTCTACAATAATTTGTTTGTAATACAAAAATGTGTATTTTACAGGTTTTGGAGAAAGAAAAGAAAAAGCGAAGACGAGATAGTGGTGAAGATTCAGATTCAAGCCAAACACAAAGTCAAAGTAGACCAAAAAGAACCAGAGTTTTGGTAAGAAGCAATTTTATATTACATAATTATAAAAAAAAGAATCATTATATAAAAATATTAAAATTGATTATGGATTTTTTTCTGTTACCAGAGGAGACCACCAGGAGAAGAAGGCCATGATCCTTATGAATATGAATCTGATGAAGAAATGGTAGATACTCCTGATGAAGGTGACTTAACACGAAGAGCTACAAGGCAGACTCGACCAGTTTCAGATGCACCATCAACTTCTCAAAATACAGCTGCCATTTCGACAGACAGTGAACCCCATGTTGAGTTATCTCCTGCAAGACTGCAGCAATTCAAATCAATTCTGCAACAATTATTCAGAAAAGAGCGTACACAGTCTTTGTCAATGGTTAAAGTCGAGGAGCATGTAAATAATGAAGTAACAGAGAAGTATTCAAGAGTGAAATTAAACAAGCTGTTGATATTATGACAAATGAAAATCAAGTTATGTTGGCTGATGATATTTTATTCCTTATTTAATTATTTATAACTGTTTTATTAATGTTTTACTAACCATTTTGTATTAAATTTTCTACAGTAAAGATTAATTTTTCAATTTTAGTATTTTTTTCTTTTCATATTGATTATGGCATTTCTATTATGAAAGTTTGATCATTTATTTAAATCCAATAATCATTACATACAAGTTCTAGATGTATATAAAGTTAACTAAAATATAATATAGATACATACATTATTATAATAATTACATTGTGAAAGTTCTTACAGCTTCACATAAAGCTCTCATCCATATTCCAACAGCATGAGCACCAGCATCAGGATATTGTGTATTCACAGACTTTCTTGAATAAACTGCTCTACCGGCTTGTGGTGGCATATTAACTGTTAAAAGTGCAGCTTGCTCAGCAGCTTCTGTTGCTTGTTCTAAACGCC